GCCCTGTGCGCACTTTATTTAGCGTATTTTTAAAAGCCTCTATGGACTGCTGCATTTTGGCATCAGCTTGGTTACGTGTAGTGGTGGTCGTCATGGGATGGCACTCCTTTTGGGAAGTTTAGTTATCAATTCTTTTATTTTCAAATAGTTAGAAAAATACAAACCTATAAAAAAAGTGTACTAATTGGCATATACCAAAGTACCTTCATCTTGGCCAGCCACTACGCGCTCTAAAGCCCCGCTTTTAAAGATAGAAAAAACTTTGATGGGCAGTTTTTGGTCGCGACACAGGGCAAATGCTGTGGCGTCCATAATTCCCAAACTCTTGGCTATGGCTTCGTCAAAACTCAGCTGGCTATAGCGGGTCGCGTTGGCATCTTTTTTAGGATCAGCAGTGTAAACGCCGTCTACTTTGGTGGCTTTGAGAACTATTTGCGCACCTATTTCAGCGCCGCGCAAAGCCGCAGCCGTATCGGTAGTGAAAAATGGGTTGCCAGTGCCCGCAGCAAAAACCACCACCTTGCCCTCTTCCAAATACTGCAAGGCTTTGGGCCGTACATAAGGCTCCACGACTTGCTCTATGCCTATGGCGGACATGACGCGAGCCGTCAAACCCGCTTTCTCCATAGCATCAGCCAAAGCCAAAGAGTTCATGACTGTAGCCAGCATGCCCATATAGTCTGCGGTGGCTCGGTCCATACCTGCTGCACCGCCTGCAACACCGCGAAAAATGTTGCCACCACCAATCACAACTGCAATTTGCACCCCCATGCGAGCGACTTGGGCAATTTCTTGCACGATGCGCTCTATGGTTGCGCGGTTAATGCCAAAAGCATCGTCCCCCATGAGCGCCTCACCCGAGAGTTTGAGCAAAATTCGCTGGTATGCAGCAGAATTTGCATTGGGGTTGTTTGCAATGTCAGACATAGCGACCTCACTCTCCTTACCTGGCAATTTTTAATACCTTAAGCCCATTATGCACCTTGAGAGATGCCAGTGCAGCATTAAGCCCCTTGTTTCGCCGCTGCTACTTGTGCAGCAACTTCTGCAGCAAAATCATCTACTTTTTTCT